TAAGTTGATCAAATATTTTACCCATACAAGATGTAAGTGCTATAGGTCTGTAAGATCTGTATCTGTAAGGCTTTAAAATGGGTATCAAACAATCTTCTTTCCAATCGTTAGGAATAAGTGAATGAAACCATAACATATTATATATTTGTTCTCAACACGCAGTATTTATATTTTTAAAAGCTTTATATGGAACAGAATCTAAGCCACAAGTAGTGTCTTTTCTAGAGTTAACAGCTGAATTGAATTTATCATCATCATCATCATTACAGCCTTTCATAAGTCCACTGCTGTCCACTGCGGTCCACTGCTGCAACATAGGCCTATCCCAAGGAATGCCACAAAGCACGGTCCTGAGCCACCTGCATCCATCGACTTCCTGCATGTCTTACCAGGTCATCACTCCATCTCGTGGGGGGTCGCCCTACACTTCGCCTACCGGTACGAGGCTGCCACTCAAGAACCTTTCTTCCTCATCGGTTGTCTGTTCTTCGAGCTATATCGCCGGCCCACTGCAACTTCAGCTTACCAATCCGTTGGGCTATGTCGGTTACCATGGTTCCACTGCGGATATACTCATTTCTAAGTTTATCACGCAGAGACACCCCGAGCATAGCCCTCTCCATAGCTCGCTGAGCGACCTTGAGCTTCCTAATACGGCCAGCAGTGAAGGACCACGTCTCAGATCCGTAAGTGATCACTGGAAACATGCACTGGTTGTACAATTTCGTTTTAAGGTTACCTGGTTTATACCTGACGAGAAGATATGTTGTAATCTCCCGAACGCTGCCCAACCGAGTTGAATCCGTCGATTGACCTCTCGGTCGAAGTTGGACTTACCTAGTCGGACTATTTGTCCCAGGTAAACATACTCGTCAACAACTTCGAGCTTAGTGCTCCCAACAACTACCGGCATAGGTATGACATGGACATTAAACATGATCTTTGTTTTGTCCATGTTCATCCTAAGACCTATTCGTTGGGAGACACTATTGAGGTCATTGAGCATAGTGCTTAGGTCCTCCAGCGATTCTGCCATAAGGACTATATCGTCGGCAAATCGAAGGTGAGTGATGTACTCGCCATTGATGTTGATACCGTTTCCTTTCCAGTCCAGAAGCTTGAAAACATCTTCCAATGCAGCGGTGAAGAGTTTCGAGGATATGACGTCACCCTGTCTTACACCTCTCAGCAATTGAATAGGTTTCGTACTCTGGTTCTGTACTCGGATAGCCATCGTAGCTCTACTGTACAAACACTTCAGCACTTCGATATACCGACAGTCAACTTGGCTTCGCTGAAGGGACTGCAGCACCGCCCAAATTTCGACGGAATCAAAGGCATTCTCATAGTCCACATACGCCAGACATAGTGGCAAATTGTACTCTTCGGACTTCTGTACAATTTGCCGAAGGGTATGTATGTGGTCCATGGTGCTAAAGCCCTTTCGGAAACCGGCTTGTTCGGGAGGCTGGAAGTCGTCAAGTCTGCGCGCGAGACGATTCGTAATGACTCTCGAAAACAGCACGTAGACGCGGCTCAAAAGGGAAATCGGTCTGTAGTTCTTCAAGAGAGCGTTGTCACCTTTCTTGAAGAACAAGACCACCACACTTCTGCTCCACGCCTCCGGTGTAATGCCACCATGGAGGACGGAATTAAAGAGCTTTTGAAGGACTTCAAGTACCGGCCTTCCACCCGCTTTCAGAAGCTCCGCTGTAATTCCATCCTCGCCTGGGGCCTTACCGTTTTTAAGGTGCTGGAGAGCCATTCTAATCTCGCTCAGACTGACGTCCGGGATATCTTCGGAATAGTGTCGGATGAGACTCGCTCTTGGATCGTTACTCACACTTGCGTGTGGCTCCAACGATGACGTGTACAGCTGCCCATAGAACCTCTCAATCTCACTCAAAATCTCAGATGTCCCGGAAACGATGCTGCCACATTCTGTCTTCAGCTTTGACAGTTGGGTCTTTCTGGCAGACAGATCTCTGGCAAAGACTTTGGAGCCTTGGTTCCGCTCGATCGCTTCTTCAATACGAGCTGTATTGAAGTTGCGTAAGTCCCGCCGCATGCATTTGGAGATCTGTCTGTTCAGATGCCTGTATGCTGTCAAGTCTGTTGAAGAATGTAGCTTCATCTCCCGTCTAACAGCCATGAGATTAAGAGTGTGATCGGAGAATTTATGTGTTCTTCTGCGGCGGGTCTTGCAGAACTTAGCTCCGACCACATGGACAGTTACCACGAGCTTGTCATTCATATCGTCCACTTCATTGCAGTCTTCTAGGCACTGAAAACGGTTTTGTAACTCGAGCTGAAAGGTTTCGGGACTTTGGATTAGAGCACTAGGGGGACGGAGCGTTGACTTCATTAGACGAGACCTCTCTAACTTAACGTTTAGGTTCAGTGTGCCTCTAACCATTCGGTGATCGCTACCAGTTTTCACCCTCGCGATCACGGAGACATCACTGAACAGTTGTCGTCTGGTCGTCATAATGAAGTCAATCTCATTTTTTGTCGAACCGTCGGGGCTCGGCCAGGTCCACTTCCTGTGGGGCCGCTTCTGGAAGAAAGAGTTCATCATAAAGAGTCCCTCTTTCTCCATGAAGTCGGCCAGCTGCTGGCCCCTTGGGTTCCGTTGCCCTATTCCAAATTTCCCTACTTTCAGCTCACCGTTCTCTCTTGTGCCTAGTTTTGCATTGAAGTATCCCATTAACACCGTATATTGGGTTTTGGAGGAATGCATGGCTCTAGAGATATCCTCATACATTTCCTTCACCTCCTGATCGGGGTGTGCCGAGGTTGGTGCGTAAACCTGTATGACCTTCAGCGAATATCGTTTGGTGATTCTGAGTATAAGGTACGCAACCCTCGTCGACACACTCCCGATCTTTACAACGTTGTTAACGAGAGACTTGTGAACGATAAATTCGACACCTCCTTGGGACAGATGGTCGCCCTCCCGGTGATAGAGCAAGTTGCCGGATTCGAGGATTACCGTGTCCTCCCCCTCTCTTCGGACTTCGGATAATCCTATAATATGCCAGCGTAACTTGTCTATCTCTTCTTCCAGCTCCATGATCTTCTCATCAGTCCTCAGGGTGCGTGCGTTGTATGTTGCCAGGTCGAGTCGTCTTAGGTGGCAACTGAACCTCCACCGGAGATTCTTAGCACCCCTGCCCCGCCGTTACCATGGTCGCCACCGTAGCCAGGAATAGCGGGGCCGCCGGGGACTGGGGGCCGTTTCTTTGTTACTGTCATTCATAGGGGTGTATTTGCCAAAGTTGCCACGCTTGGCGAGCGGGTTGGCAACCGCAGTTTTTTTATTGTAAGTTTGTTGTTATCAGGAAGATGCTGCTGCCTATCTCCTGCCTATTTCCCTTTGTCGACTTTTACGACACCCACGGGAAGATATGGGGTAGTGGATATTCTTAACCGCCACTACACGGTGTACGGTGAATTGAATTCGGACAAAGTAAAAGGTTTGGTAAGATAATCACAATGATTATCATTTGAGGAGTGGGGGGTTAGAGGTGATTCATCTGTTTCTGGAGTATATTTTTTCAAAAATTCATTAGCCCAATTAGAATCTATGACATATATATTATTATGAACAAAAGTTTTGATAAACTTTTTAATGTAATTCCATACTCTAGTCAATAGAGTAGATCTATTAAAAGTTTCACATGGGTTTTTCCAGCTAAGCTGTCTTTTAGTCTTCAAAGTAATTTTTTTAACAGCTTGTAGTCTTTTAAAATTAATATAATTTCGTTCCGTGGGATTATTCTTAAATACTAAATATGCATTTTTACAATTTAATACTGCCTCTTTGCATTTTAAATTCCACCAAGGTAAAGATTTTTTTTAAATTCTTTTAAAAGATTGCAAGTTGATGTTAACATTTCGATTAGAAGACTGATTGGATGGTGTGGATTCATGCATGGCTTGTTTAACTAGTTCTAGTCTGTATAACATTGTAAAGGATTACTATAATCAAAACTATAATTTTTAATTAAATTATCTATTAAATTTGGATATTTTGACCAATCTACCAATTTTAAGTTTATGTTATTTGATACAGCTGTTTCTTAAAAATTTTGACTATTGACCGTAATTTTTGTCTTTACAGGAAAATGATTGTTACGGCCTACGGCTGCTCCCTTAAAGGATCAGGTCCTCAGGGGCCCATGAGCTGAGAGACTTCCCGAACAGACGTAGGTCGGGCCTCAATGTGGCCACGTGGAAATTCCTAATTACATTAAAATATATGGGGGAGCGTTATACTACGGCCAGTCGACCGGAAGGAATTTGGATGAAGCTTACTTACCTATCCAAGGCGACTGGTCCCTCCGGAGTCGGTCAGGTCGCATGTGGTTGTGTAGTGCAAGGGAAAGAATGGTGATGTGGTGTGTATCTGGTGTAGGTTGCGTAGGTAAAATAAAAAGTTACTCACAGTCTTTTGGTATTTACTTCGAATTTCACGCAACACCATATATATACAGAAGGAGTATATAGCACAAGCACAAATAGTTAGCAAGAAAGTATACAGCACAGAGAAGAAACAGAGAAAGTTCACAGTAATAATTTAACAGTAAAAACAATAATACGTAAGCTGGCAATTTAAAAGCGGTTGGCATCGAGCGACATGCACTTCGCGTCAGGAGCAGGTTCCGACTGGCGGGAGGTCCGTAAGACTCGGACGATGTGCATGAGTCGAACGAGGTGGCGAAAACAAAAGAACCGGTCTCGGAATGTTCGTTTCCATTTGCGATATACGTCACGACGGCGCGCTGGCTGAGTGTAATAACGTATTGTGTGTTAATATAAAATTAATGTATAAATGCATATACATAATATTTTATATAAATATTATAGATATAAAATTAATACTGTTTGATATTAATAAATAAATATAATAGTATGATGCTAAAAATTATAAATGTTATAAATATATAATTTTATAAATGTAGGAGAATAGCCTACATCACTCCCCCCCAGAGACCATCCTATGGGCGATAATAGTCTGGAAACCGAACTCGGCGTCCAGAGCGTGTTACGCGTTGTGTTTCTATGTGTGTTGTTGGTGTGGGAATGATTGGGTTATGTGGTGTGTGTAGAGTGTATTTGTCTGTGAGTATGTAGGCCGGTTTGAGTCGGTCTATCGATACAGTGACTTCTTTACCCTTGACCAGAAGCTTAAACACTTTGTTACCGCGTGTGAGGACTTTATGTGGACCGGTGTAAGCAGGTTGTAAAGAACTTCGCAAAGCACCTTCGCGAAGAAAAACATAGTCGCAAGAATTTAGATCTTTAAAAACAAATGTCTTCTCGGTGTTGTGCCGAGTTGTTGGTACCGGTTGCAAAGTCTTGGCGATATTACGGAGTCGTGCAGTGAACTCAGTGATGTCCACAGGGCCATCTGTACTAGGTTCAAAGAATTCTCCAGGTAATCGAAGAGGCTCGCCGTATACGAGTTCTGCGGAAGACGTTTGCAGATCAGCCTTAAAAGCACTGCGTATGCCAAGTAGGACCCAAGACAGTGATTCAGTCCAACTACTTTCAGCATGACACATAATAGCGGCTTTTAACTGTCGATGAAATCGTTCGACTATTCCATTGGACGCAGGATGATAAGCTGTTGTGCGCTTATGTTGAAAGCCAGCTGTTTTTGATAGATGTTGAAACAGGTCTGATTCAAATTGTCGTCCTCGGTCTGTGACAATTTCCTCAGGACAACCATAGCGAGCGATCCAATGGAATAGCAAAGCTTGTGCAACAGTTTCGGCTGTAATGTCGGCTATTGGTACTACCTCAGGCCATCGCGTAAAACGGTCGATTGCGGTGAGGCAGTAGCGGTAGCCTTTTGACCATGGAAGTGGACCAATGAGGTCTATATGGACGTGTCTAAAACGCGTGCGAGGCAAGGCGAAAGTACCCCAAGGTGAGGATACGTGTCGGCTTACCTTGGAACGCTGACAGGCAATACAAGTTTTAGCCCAGTCTCGGCAGTCCTTCCTCATACCTGGCCAAACGTAGCGTTCTGCTACCATTTGAGCAGTGGCATTTGCTCCAGGATGGCTCAGGGAATGAAGACTGTCAAAGACCTGCTTGCGAAGGATGTTGGGCACAAATGGTCTACGGGTTGGTGTACTTATGTCACAGTACAATGTAGTACTGCAATCAGGAATATTGTACTGTTCAAAACGGAGTGACGACGAACCACTTTTTATAAGCTGGGCAAGTTCTACGTCATTGGCTTGGGACTCGGCTAAGGTGGCGAGATCGACGGGCGCTTCCAGTTCCTCAATGCGACTTAAGGTGTCGGCAACAATGTTATCTTTGCCAGATATATGCCTTAAGTCGGTTGTGAACTGGGCTATGAAGTCTAACTGTCTATACTGACGAGGCGAGCAGTTGTCTTTCCTTTTATGGAATGCAAAACTGATCGGTTTATGGTCAGTATAGATGGTAAAGTGTCTCGCCTCCACCATATGACGAAAGTATTTTATAGCTTCATATATAGCTAATAACTCTCTGTCATATGGGGAATACCTCTGCTGAGTTGGGCTTAACTTACGCGAAAAGAACGCAAGTGGTTGCCATGCTCCGCCTTTCAGCTGTTGAAGTACGGCACCTATAGCTACGTCCGACGCATCTGTTACTAATGCCAATTTGGCTTCGCAGTCTGGATGGGCTAATAAAGCTGCATTAGACAGACTACATTTGCAGTCTTCAAAAGCTTTGATTTCTTTATCTGTCAAAGTTATTGGTTGGCGACCTTTGACAGCACCAGTCAGGAGGTTGTTAAGAGGCGCTTGTGTTTGGGCGGCATTGGGTAGAAATCGCCTATAAAAATTAATGATACCCAAAAATCTCCTCAACTGACGTACGTCCTTGGGTTGTGGGTAATCCAGAATGACCTGCACCTTTTCTGTAAGGGGCTTGGTGCCACTTTCCGAAATACGGCAACCAAGGAATTTGACTTCGTCAACACCAAAAATACACTTAGAGGTGTTTATAAGCATCCCATATCTCTTGAGTCTGTTAAATACTTCGCGAAGATGTCTTTCGTGTTCCTCTTCGTTTCGTGAAAATATTAGAAAGTCGTCAAGGTAACAGTAACAAAATTCTAAGCCCCTGGTCATCTCATCCACGAATCGTTGGAAGGTTTGCGCTGAGTTGCACAAACCGAACGACATGTAAGGGAACTCATAAAGTCCAAACGGTGTGGTAATTGCGGTTTTCGGGATATCGCACTCACTGACAGGTATTTGGTTATAAGCCTTAACCAGATCGATAGTGCTGAAGACCTTACAACCAGCTATACTATGGGTAAAGTCGTGTATATGTCTGATTGGATACCTGTCAGGGATGGTGCGAGCATTGAGCATTCTATAATCCCCGCACGGGCGCCACCCGTTGTCTTTTTTCGGTGCGAGATGAAGAGGCGATGACCATGAGCTTTCTGAAGGCCTAGCTGTACCATTGGCTAACATGGATTCGAATTCTTGTCGAGCAATTTTGAGCTTATCGGGTGCTAAGCGTCTTGGAGAAGAAGTTACTGGTGGGCCTGGTGTCGTGCGAATGTGGTGTATAGTGTTGTGTGTTATCGTGTGTTGTGTACCAGCGGGTCGCGTGATTTCAGGAAACTCACCTAAAATTTTGTGATACCGCGAGCTGCCAGTCGAAACCTTCACAGATGAAACAGAATCTGGACAAGAAATTAAAGATACATTAGTAACTAAAGTAGTAGTACTATCTATTAATCTTTGGTTTCGACAATCAACAATTAGGTTATAAAAAGATAAGAAATCAACACCAATTATAGCTTTCGTAACATCAGCTACCACAAAACGCCACTTAAAACTACGTCGCAGTCCAAGATCTAGGGTAAGGTGGGCATAGCCGTAAGTCTTTATGGTACTCCCGTTGGCTGCACATAGTTCGTAATTGGTGGCTGCACGACGATCACGAATTAAGGACCTTGGAAAAACACAGAGGTCGCTTCCTGTATCGACCAAAAATTGTGTTTTTGAGGTGCGGTCCGTGACGAATAGGCGACCAGTAGTATTAGGACAGTCGTCAGTCGCCATTAATGACCGTCCTGTAAGTTTCCCGCCTTAAAATCACACGGTGGCAGGCATTTATGTGCGCGGCCACCATTTTTGGCGTGATACCAGCAAAGTGGGAATTTTTTATATCGAGACTGCGATCTTGATGAAGAACGCCCACGCTGGTGGTGTCTGCTCCTGGAACGGGGCCTCCTATTTACCTGAGTTGACAGTCTTTGCAGTTGCTTACGAAGTTCGGCAACTTCCCTTGTTAAGGCGTCGCAGCTGGGACCTGGTGTGGATGTACTCGCCGGGCACGTAGAGGCGACTTGCGGTGAAGACGGTACAATGTCCTGTATCCGGTCTGCTAAATCTGCCAGCACTTCCAATGACGCGCTGGGTTGCGCGGCTAGTACGGTCTGGATGCTCCTCGGCAACCGGCTGGTCCAAATAGTCTGCAGGAAATCGTCTGGTACTTGGGGTCCTGCTAGGCTCTGGAGGTGTCGCAAGAACTGTGAAGGCTTCCTGTCACCCAGTTCCTCGTGCATAAGAAGTTGCTTCACCTTCTTTTCGTGTGAGGTACTCAAACGCTTTATGAGCTCTGTTTTAAGCTTTATATATTTATCACTGGCTGGTGGGTTGATAATAATGTCTTTGACCTCTTTGGAAAATTGATGGTCTAGCTGTCCGATAACGTAACTAAATTTTGTAAAATCGCTCGTGATACCAGAGATAGCAAATTGGCCCTCAACTTGTGCAAACCATATTTCTGGTTCTTCCGGCCAAAAAGGTGGTACACGCACTCCTACCTTAAAAACTTCGGATGACGTGTCGGAGGCGTCAGTGGAAGCGCGCTCTCCGCTTACCCCCTGTTTAAGTTGTTGGGTGTGGCTGCCGCTGCTTGCATCTTCGAATTTTTCTCTGCGATCCATTATTTTGGTATTCAAAGCGGGGTCACCAATGTAGGTTGCGTAGGTAAAATAAAAAGTTACTCACAGTCTTTTGGTATTTACTTCGAATTTCACGCAACACCATATATATACAGAAGGAGTATATAGCACAAGCACAAATAGTTAGCAAGAAAGTATACAGCACAGAGAAGAAACAGAGAAAGTTCACAGTAATAATTTAACAGTAAAAACAATAATACGTAAGCTGGCAATTTAAAAGCGGTTGGCATCGAGCGACATGCACTTCGCGTCAGGAGCAGGTTCCGACTGGCGGGAGGTCCGTAAGACTCGGACGATGTGCATGAGTCGAACGAGGTGGCGAAAACAAAAGAACCGGTCTCGGAATGTTCGTTTCCATTTGCGATATACGTCACGACGGCGCGCTGGCTGAGTGTAATAACGTATTGTGTGTTAATATAAAATTAATGTATAAATGCATATACATAATATTTTATATAAATATTATAGATATAAAATTAATACTGTTTGATATTAATAAATAAATATAATAGTATGATGCTAAAAATTATAAATGTTATAAATATATAATTTTATAAATGTAGGAGAATAGCCTACACTGGGTGTGACTGATGGTGATTGAACCTAGACCTTGGCCGTCGGCAGCAGCCCGAGCGTCGACATCACTCCAACTTGAGGGGGCCTTTCGAGGTTGTCCACAGTCACTTTCTTCTTTCGTCACGTTGACAGTCAATTAACTCTATCGTACGATTTACTAACTTACAGAAGCCACTAACTATCGCTGGTTATAAGGTTAACACACAAAACGCACACGGAGTTTACAGTTTATTAAAGGTCACTACCGTTTCGCGTTGCAACAGTTATTTCTAGAATATCAGAGGCCGCACTAGCTAATATTGCCTAATGCACTTATGCAGGTTTTGAGTCAGACACAATAAGTCCCGGGAAGCTCTCCAGTAGGAATGCGCGTCACAAATCCTAGACCGTATATTTACGGGCCGCACCTAATTATTCCGAGTTCCCTAACAGAATGGACCGCGTGCTCACGTCAGCACCGATTAAAGACGACTGACTTTTCTCTCGCGACTCGCGCGCTCGTACCACGCCCAGCCGAACTTCAAACCGGAATCGCGCCGAGCCGAGTGACATCTGGTGTCGACTCCGACAACAGTGTTTTGCGCGAACAATGATAGCTGCCTAGAAAATCATCATCTCATACTTGCCACTCACAAGACAGAGCCAGTGAAGATGAAACAAGTGTCAAGTCTAATGCATTCTTCCTCCATCTATGAGATCCTACTGTAGTTATCTGACCATCATTCAAGATTACAAGATTGTTGTCATCTATACTTGCAAGAACATCCCTACCTCGTGAATCTAGTTCATTACATCCCCATAACGTGTGATGAGCGTTGAAATCACTAGCTATAAAGACTAGCTATGACAAACTTTGGATTAAATTATTTAATTTGGATTTATTATAATTAATTGATGAATTAGGGGGACAGTAAACACTAACTAAAGTTAATCATTTATCATTGTATTGTATTTGTACAGCTATATTTTGTAATGAGTCATTAGAGAATGTATTGGTAACACGAAATCCAATTTTGTTATGTAGAAGTATTGCTACTCCATTATGATCATTACCTGAATCTAATCGTATAATATTATAACCTTTTACTCTAAAACTGTGCCTAGGTTTAAGCCAACTTTCACTGGTCTCATATAAAAATTGTGTAAATTGAAAGCGATTTTTAATTAAACTCTGTGCATTCCATTTTAAAATGTTAAACTGATCCATAAAATATTAAATGTTAAATAATGAAATATCTATTTTAGTTTCATTGTATCTACGAGAACATCTTTAATAAACTGAGAAGATATGGTGGTTTGTTCATTTGATTTATTAAGAGTTAATACTTTAATGACTGTATTTAAAATTATATTAATAATGTCATCATTCTTTAGCAGTGACAAGAGCATCTTTAGGATTTTTTTTGTTTAATTCGGGGAATTCGTTTTTATTAAAAAGGTCTACAAACGGGGTTTTGTGTAATTTAACCCGATTTTCTTTTACCTTTTGTTTCTTAACAGGACACTGTCCAGAAATGCTTAGATGGTTTCCTTTGCAATGTATGCATATCGCTTTATCTGAAGAGACTTGGCAATCTTTGTACCTGTGATTTTCAGCACAAATTGAGCATTTCACAGAATTTTTACAGTACTTTGCTAAGTGGCTATACCTCAGACAGTTGTAGCACTGCTTCACTGGTGGAATATACTGATTTACCACAAGCCGCCAACCATGAAGATCGACGAGGTCCGGCAAAACATTAGAATCGAACGTGATGGCCACGGTGCCCGTCAGCTGCAGCAAACAGCGTCCTGCGTTATTCTTATGTTTCCTCATTACCCTTTTAACACATATTATCTTCCTGTAAGTCGTTAACATACCAAAAATTCTTGAATTAGAAAGTTTAGTGGGAACATTAGTTATGACTCCTGTTATTTCTGTCCCTACAGCTGGGATACATCAAAAAAATCAAAAATCAAAAAAATGTTTATTCTGTAACAATAAATTTACATCATCAGCAGTACACAAAGTTCTCCTTTTAAGTATTTTTCAATACTTGTGACAGGAAAACTAGCTCTTCCATAATTAACATACAATACTTGTAGTTACAAGAATAACATAAAATTCCTTTCCCTTTGATAAATTAATTTAAAAAGAAAAAATATGTGTGTGTGTGTTTGTATGCGTGCGTTTGTGTGTGTGTGTGTGTGTGTGTATGTGTGTGTGTGTGTGTGTGTGTTTGTGTGTATGCGTGCGTTTTTGTGTGTGTTTGAGTGATTGCACGTGTATGCACGTGCTTTGTATGCCGTGTTATTTTAACACATTTTCGATTTCGTGATAATCTTTCCTCTTGAGCCATTCAATAAGAAGTTTCTTACATTCTTTACTAAAAATACATGCCTTCATTCATTGCCTTTTGAATTCATTACGAAATGTAATATTATTTAAAAATGCATTCGCTCCAGCGAGAGCCTCTCTAGAGGGCTTTTCAAAATGAACGCCTATTTTGTATTTATTAATAGATTGCAAATGTTTAATGCCTTTATTAAACCTCTTCATATGTGTGGACAGAAACATCATGTCCCGCGTGCCGATTGGCCTTCTTTCATCATTTGATTCGACAAAGACAACAAAATCAACGAGGACAGAGTCCTCAGGGTACCTCATGTTGTAGTCAGATACAAAGTACGGCTTATATTTGCGCTGCTCTTTCTCAGGATCTTCCTCAGTACTGGTATCAATTTCTTCCTCCTCAGTCGTTTCTTCAAATACTTCTTCTTCTCCCGGCAACTTTTTTTTCTACGTTTCCCCATGATGCGGAAATCCAGTAACAATAAAACAATAAAAGTTTAGTGCCTTTTAACTAAACAAAACAAAATTAAAATTTTAGTTTAAATAAAGGCGCCTATCATGTTTCAAGGTTCCCGCGCTTATTTTCTCTGACAAGTGACAAATGACAACTGATTTTTTTTCGAGTTTATGGCCTGGTATCTAGACCTTTAGGCCTTTAGGCCAAGTCTTGAGTATTTTTATTCGGTTTATTATAATTTTCCCACTGTATTATTGATGAATTTATAAAGACGCACGTAATAAGATCTATTTTTTAACATATCACTCAGGCGGCGGGAGGGATCTTGTACTGTCACTTGATTTTGCACTATGTCACTAATTTCACTGACAAGAATCAATCAGTCAAATGAAAATCACTCACATGTAAATATGAAATGTTCGATATCACCAACAGAATTATTGCAGAAGGTGCAGTAGCTGCTCTCCACTATGCCCAACCGAGCCAGGTGGGCCGGGACGGTGTAGTGACCAAAACGCAGTTTGTTTATAGTCGTAATAAAGTCCCGACTGGCCATTTTCAGTTTGTTATACCAAGGTGCTACAGGTAGATTTTCTTGAGCAGTTCCATACTATTTACCCTTCTGTTCTTGATCTTGTTTCCAAAATTCGACCCATAAACTATTGATCTGGTTATCAATAGATTGATAACAGTCGGTCAAAGGTACTTTTCTATGGAGCTAACATCCAACATGTTGGTTCCATCACGTGCAATTTTATCTACTATCTCATTTCCTGTTATGCCCCTATGTGATGGAATCCACATAAAAGAGATCTGTATACCCTTTTGTGCATAACTAAATAACAATTTTTTAATATTATACAAAATATAGTTCTTTGAAAGTCAAATCTGAGATTGGTTAAACTTTGGACCATACTTAAACTATCTGTTAAAATTAAAAAATTATTAAAACTATTTATATGTGCAATCCTCTTCAAGGCCTCAAGAGCCGCATATACCTCTGCAGTGAAAACACTGCATTTAGGGTCCAGAAGAAAACTTTGACCAAACTTGGATTGGGGATCATAAACAGCACTGCGCACAAAGAGCTCACTTTTGCTACCATTTGTATACAAAGTATAGTAGTTATTATCGGAAAGAAAACTTAATAATTTACAATTATTAAAAAAAAATTTTGGTAACAATATTGGTCTCAAATATAATATAGGAATATGGGTATGTGTAGCATGTCCTCTTTGCTTGTTTAATTACATTTTTAAAATCTTCATTCATTTGCTGTACAATGAGAGGCAGAACTGGGTAATAACCTCGTAAAAGCTCACCTCCCGAAGTTTGCTGGGCCGAGCATTGTACAGGAAAAGGTACTATTTTTTTGAGAACATTATCATTACCAGATAACAGCTTTAGTAAATATCTCTCTATTAGCAGAAGTCTTCTAAGACACAGTGGCATTATTTTGATTTCAACTTCCATAGCTCATATGGGATTTCAACACAGCTCCAGAAATAATTCGCAGAGCTTTGTTTTGAATTATATCTAGCTTTTTTACACAACTACTATTTGAGTAGGCTAAACAGCTGTAGTCGAAATGGCTTCTGACTATAGATTTATATAGCA